GGTTCAGCTTGGTTTTGCTTCCAGACTGCACGCTTTGCCTGGCGCCAAGAGCCAAGAGGTGAGTTTTGATTTCTCTATAAGCATGTCAGGTTGCAGAATAGGAAAGCAAATGAAAACCAGTGCGATAGGAAGCCCCTTGGCTTGCGTTCTTTGTTGTGGGCTTAAAGAGATGCATTAATTGCCCTGTGCCAAGAATATGTTTTTTTCCACAGGTTTCCCATTTCAGAAAGATTTCCAGGTATGCCTAGTGTTAAATCTTGGATGAAGTTAGCTTTAAAGTGCATGCACATGCACTGGCTTGATTGTAGCTGCAATTTCTTCGGGTTGGTTTCTGTAAAAAAGACCTGACAGAGAGGCTGTGAGCCCTACGGATGCCATGTGCGTTATGAGCGGTGGCTGCCTTGGGCACACGCTCTGCCAGGAGAAATCAGGACAGTCCCCAAGTCCAATGAATGCAAACCCAACGGCAAACCCCAGGAATAGGCAAGAGCAGGGGAATGTCTCTTTTGCATAATAAGAAGTGTCCAGGAATGGTGCAAACGAGGATCTGGTCATGCAGGGTTTGGGGAAGGTTCCTCCATGGGGAACTATCCCACTGGAAAATCCCACTCGACCTGCCTCACCGCATGCCCCGCACACGGTTCACGGGACTTATCACGCCGTGCTAGCAGCGTTGCATTGCACCAGTGTCTGTAGCAATCCTGCTTGTAGTCTCCCCCGGCTTCTTGTCCTCCGCCTGAAATACTGAAATTGCCCAGAGAAAGGAAATATCTCTACATGGAGGGCCATCAAACCAGCACACTGTCTGCAGCATCCAAAAAAGCAACCCATTCGGCAGGGTAATCTATTCAGTGCCTGGGATTTATTTTTAACATGCAGTTCTGCAGTCCTTTTAACTTGAGCAGGGAAGTGAACATTTTGATAACAGCAGCCTCCGGGTCAAATGTGATGAGAATTCATAACTCACCACATAGTGGTTTTGGAAAACCAACCAAGCAAAACAATTTCCCAGAATAAGTCGATGAAGATTCACATTTTTCTTCACAATGTCATACATAGAGCTGATATCTACTTATTCTCTTTCCACAATTTGCAAATAAAATGCCTCCTGGACTATTTTAAATCTGAACGGCTCTTGCCACCACAGCCTTCTGGGCTTCTCGTAAAGAACTGAGACATCGGATCTTTAGGCCATCAAAGAAGGGATATTAATCCAGTAATGGGAACATTCCGATGTTTGCATATCTAATCAAAGAAAACCCTTGGTTTTCTGCTCCAAGCCCGTACAGCCAAGAGAGTGGCATCAAGGTTACAAAACTGCAGGGAATTCCAGGAGGTTTCTCCAGTCCCTGAAATTCCCTGGAACAACAAGGGAGCAATTAGAGACCCAACTGAGTTCAGAGCTGGGATCTGGGAAAAATAAACATGAGGATCTGGCCAAGTTGAGATTGTTGAAGAACCTGCAAGGCTGGGGCTGCTCTGCTCTGCAGCGTGGTCTGTTTTATCCGCAGGCTTCAGAATAAGTCATGGCCAAACTCCTTGTATCTGCTCTCTGCTCCCTGTCTCCCACACAAATCCAATATTCAAAGGGAGACCCTAGTGTTACCTTCTATAGCAGGGGCAGAGGCTGCTCTGCAGCATTGGAAAAGTGAGAATAAACATGAGACCATGAGATGCAAATGCACAATTTCACCCTGACATTTCCTCCCATGCTATCACAGGAGCCTGGAGAGTAAATGAGAAATTCTGTGTGCTGGAACAATGGAAAACGGCCAAATTTTCTGTGCAGCCCAGAGAGCTGTACTGATGGGAACAGTCTAAAACTCGCCCTTGCTTCACCCCTCCAGGTGAGTCCCATTGGTCTCAAACTCTATCTGGGACTATGTGCCTGCAGCAGGACCAGCTTTCCTCTCTGGGGTGGTCTCCTGGCTGTCTTCCTTGCTTTCAGAAGGAAAAGAGTTTGGGTATCTTCACCGAGTAGATGGGCTCAAAAGGAGCCTCTGTGACCACCTAATTGCCACCACAATGGCAAAAAAAAAAAAAAAAAAGAGCTAGAAATGTACATTGGTCACAAATATAATCCAGGTGCTGCCTACATCCTTCACTTGTGCAAAAACAAACCAACCCCTCTCGGTCATCATAACTGCCTCCCTCTGGCCCTTCTGCAGCCCCCGTCACGACAGGACCGAGTAATCTCTCCGTCTTTGTGGTTAGGACAGACGTGTGAGCAGACCGGAGGAGGATTGAGAAAAACAGACGTGGGCGTCCACCGGCTGACGCCGCCTTTGGCTGAGACATCCCAAACAGCGTTTGCTGCCTCCTCCTCATCGGTGTTCCCAGCTCCCGAGCCACCTGATTGCACCGGCGCGTGGGGACTTGGCAGGGAAACCGCTGGGATACCTCCTGCTCCTCCACAGGCACCCGAGGATGCAATGGCATGGCACTTGGGAGCCGCGTGCCCGCTCCAGGACAGGGTAAGGTGGACCTCACGTGAAGGTGGACAGGCAGCCTTGCCCTGTCCTCCCCACTCTAGCCCTTGACCCTTGGCTTTCTGTAAACCCAGTGGCTGTGTGGCTGTGCCATGAGCTGTGCATGTGTCCCTCCTTCAAGGCACATCAAGGCCCGTTGTTATTCCTCTTGGGTGGGTAAAGAGGTGGGGATAAGAGGGAGATGCATCCAGCATGGAACAGAGCCTGGCTGTGCCTTGACCCAGCCTTATCATGGGGAGGAAGGTGTGAGCCTCAGCACTGGCTCCACGCGAGGACAGCTCCACCGCCACCCTACACTGTCCAAAACCCTGTTCTGTCCTTCCCTAGCCCTGACAAGCAGTGACACTGACGGTGACTCTTTGCTCTTTGCTGTCTCTCCATAGTACACATGTCTGAGGCACGACTCCAAGGGCAAGAGGAAATCAAGAATGATGAAGAAAATCCAGATCTGCCTCTGCTTCATCGTTGTCTCTGGCATCTTGTATGAGATATCCCTGCTGTCTGGCTGCATCTTTTCTTTTATCCCCCTGTCCAAGCACTTCCTGACACCTGAGCAGGTTCTGAGCCTTGGCAAAAGCATCTTCTTTTTGGAGACCACAGAGCGCCTGGAGCCGCCTCCGCTGGTTTCCTGCTCCGTGGAGTCTGCTGCCAGGATTTACCCCGACAGGCCCGTTATCCTCTTCATGAAAGGGCTTAACAACGAGACGGCGTTGGACTCCAATTCCAGCTACGCCGCCTTCTCGCTCTTATCCTCTATGAGCAACGTCTTCATTTTCCCCCTGCAGATGGAGATCCTCTTCGAGAACACCCCTCTGCTCCAATGGTACAAGGAGGTGAGAGCTACACTGCAGGGAAAACCACTCTGAAGTGGGCTTAAAACAGAGGGGAACGGGCATTGAGGGTTTGCCCAACCATATGAAATTTCAGTCTTTTCACTTTACTTTGTTCAGAACAGGGCCATTCGGGCCATATGTTGCAATACATTCCTCTCTTTTTGTACTGAACATACTATCAGTATTTTCTTCACTATCTGTGCAATCAGAGCTTTGACAAACACAACCCTGGCAAAAATAGACTGCATACGTATTTCGATTAAACATCGGTTAATCACCTCGTTCAACAGATGCTTGTTTAATGAAATGTGCTGTCCGAGTCATCGGAGTGCTTATTAATGCTGTCATGCACTGATAAAGCCCATGCCAGATTAGATGGCAGAGAGATTTCAGGTTTCATAAAGACCACGGGCAAAACCCTGGGTGGGATCTTTCCCGGTCCACCCAAAAAACAAGCTTCTCTGCAACTCCCTTGTAAGCCCAGCTTGGGAAGGTCGTTCTGCTCCATCTCCATGCAGGGCAAGCAGTGAAGGATTTCTTCAAGCCCTTGCGACTCCCCAGGAAAGAAAATACATGGAATAGTAGCAAAGGCAGTGAAAGCCCTTCAGTCTGTTCCAAAGAGCCGTGAGCGACGAGGCAGCGAGCGTGTTAAATGGGTTGTGTCCCGCTGAAATAGCAGCCTGTGATTCATAGCATTATTGATTTAACATTTTGAGTTTCCTCAACAAAAAAGAAAAAGCCCATAAAGCGTTCTTGCATTCATTTATATTTATAAAATCATTGTTCTGAGCCTCCCCCCATTATGTTATTCCAATAAAATTTAATAGCTGTAAAAAGAAAAGACTGTTGCTGACATTTATAGGTGCTGGGTTGAGTTTCACAGCGCAGTTAAGGGGACAGAGGAGGCGAGAGCTCTTTCAGCAGCAGCATCACTGTTTTGTGTCTCCCACTCTTGCAGGTAAACCCAGAGCAGGAGAAGAACTGGGTTCATATCAGCTCGGATGCCAGCAGACTGGCGCTCATTTGGAAATATGGGGGGATCTACATGGACACGGACGTCATCTCCATCCGGCCTATTCCCGAGGCAAGTTTCCTGGCGGCGCAGAAATCCCAGTTCTCCAGCAATGGGATTTTTGGCTTTCCTTCCTATCACAAATTTGTTTGGGACTGCATGAATAATTTTGTTCTGAAGTACAATGGGAGAATCTGGGGCAACCAGGGACCTTTTCTAATGACAAGGATGCTAAAAGCCATTTGTAATCTCACGGATTTTGTCGGCCTTGAGGACCACAGATGCCACAACATCTCTTTCTTGAACCCTCAACGTTTCTACCCTATCCCATACCCAGCCTGGAAAAAGTACTATGAGGTGTGGAACAAAGACCCTAATTTCAACCACTCCTATGCGTTGCACTTGTGGAACTTCATGAACCGTAACCAGAAAGTGGTGGTGGCAGGGAGCAACACGCTGGCAGAAAAGCTGTACAAGACCTACTGCCCCACGACGTACAGGGATTTGATCCAAGGGGCCACAAGAGAGACTTGGAGCAGCAAAGAGACGGTGCTGGATGGGACGTAGGAGAGCAGGGTGATCCTTGCAGCCCTCCCTGCGGCTAAACCGCCTTGGGACCGTTGCTCTCAGCAGCCTGTTGGGTGGTAGAGACCTCTCACGGCCGCTCTCCTTGCTGCCTTAGGATGCTGAGAAGCATGTGTGGATGGTGGTGGGCATCCATCTGACATGATGCTAAGGACTCTGTTGCCCGAGGGGGTTCCGAAGTTCGGTTCTCTTCCCTTGTAGGTATTTGCAAGACTTACCGAGTCAAAGGGTCTTCCAGGAGAGTTGATTTTTAGAGGGAAAAGTTCCAAGGAGACCCATGGCCTCCTGGTAGGAAGCTCAGAAGTGTCTCCACACCCCTTTGCACTAGTGACAGCTCTGCATTTCAGACACAACACGGAACTTAACTGAGGACTCTGATGGAAGCGTAATGCAAGCCTCTAGCAGTGTATGGATGACATACATAGCCCAAACTACTACTGTCTTTTCATTAAGATAGGCTGTTTTTTTGTGACACAAACTTTACACCCTACGTTTTTGAGAGGGACCTTAGAAATGCAAGTAAAAATAATAGATATCACCAAGTCTCTGAGATTCTTTCCCCCTGCATTCCTCTGGGGGGCAGGGAGGGGGAAAGATTGTTATTTAAAAAATTGCTTTTCCTCCTATCCTTTGGCTCCAGCGCCTTGCAGGAAGGGGCTGCTTTTCTCCACCCTCAGCCCCGTCTGCCTCCTGGTGTCTCCTGGCCTCCTCAGTTCAGGGATGAAGAGTCGTGTCTCCCTCCTTACCCCTGTCAGAGCGGAGGTGCTGAAGCACCAAGGTGACTGTGGGACTGACTCTCCAAGGACTATCCCTCCGCAGTACGTGGGTTTCTGTCACCTTTGACAATAGGTGTGGCAGCCTGAAGAGTCTGTGCCACCTCCACTGCCTTCTTATCTCCCTTTCGGCCCCAGGACGTACCACTCCCTGCTTGCATCTCCTACTTTCCCCTCCTTCCCACTTTCTTTCATTTTCCTCTCCCACACCCAGGTGGTGTCAATGCTAGGGAGTTTGCTGGAGTCCCAGTCCTGCAGTCTCCAGCATCTTGGAGCGCATCTATCCCACACCCAGGGTGAGGAGGAAGTGTCCGCAGGGAAGGAGCTTTTGGCTGCCTCCGGCTTCCCAAGCAGCTTTGAGCTTCCTGGGGAAGGGGGATATGGTGGGAAGGGCATCAAGAGCCCACCCTGTTCCTTGCACAACTCTGAACAGCCCCTCCAAGTCGCGTCAAACCACAGTCCTCAGTCTTATCGTGGCAGAGCCCCTTCAATTGCTCCTTCTGGGATTAAGTTCTTTGCTTTTTCTGCTGGGAAAACCTAGGCAGCGAGAGAGGGACAGCACTGGGAGAAACATTTGGACTTGAATGCTCAGAGGTTCACTGGGGTGAACTGGGGCACCTTAATGCTTTGGAGAGGGGAAAGAAATCCATAGAAAGTTCCAAAAGGCATAGGGTGGAGGTGGGAATGGGTGGAGGGAGAGTGAAGGGGAAGAGATTTCCCTACCGGAGGCTGCAGGCTCCGAGGAGGAGGACCACACAAAGGCCACAACAGGGATGTTGTGAAGCCAGCATCACCCCTGCAGCCCCTCCACCTCTTCCCATTAGGAAGACACACACTTTTCCCCATCCCCTGATCCATTTGCCAGTCTGGAATATGAACACTCACCGTGGTTGCTGCACGGCAGCTCTGCCAGCACTTCGACGTTTTTGCATGTCTTAGCGTTATACGAGGCATCATGCATGGAGGCACTTGGAGACGTCGAGGGAAGCAGACGGGGTGAGGGGACAACCTCCATCGCGCTGCTCAGCGACACAGCCGGGTTAACCATGGCTGCCAGGTTGACTGCTCCTGCCTCTGGGTGTGAAGCTGGCGTTAATATTAACAAGGTTGTGCAATGGCCCCTGTACCCAGGGTGCACAGGAGCTCCTAAGGGGAGGTTGATTTGTGCCCTGGAAGGAGGGAGATGGGGCTGGCTCCCATTGCCACTTCAGCCCTGGCATGCTGGATTGATGCTCTGCACGAATCCCATCCCTATCCATCAGGAACATACGTAGGTGTTTCCATGCACAACGCTCCTCTGGATTTTCCTGCAAAAGAGCAACCTGGTGTTTACAGTCTGGGAGGCCAGCAGTATGTCTGCCCAACACCACTGGTGCTGATAACTCAGGGTACAGGCTTTCCCAGAAATTCCCTTTCTGCGGCGCAAGGGCAAACAGAACACGGCACAGCAGCTTGCACCGCTTTCCAGGGTGCCTGGCTGCAAGGGGATCTGGCCTGAAGCAGCAAGACCACGTACCCTTCCCCAGCAGATCTATGCTGCTTTCAGCCTCTTTATATTTGGGCCTCTATATGCATGCACGCATATGTACATATATTTTTGGTATGCAGCAGAAAAGGTGAAGGATGCTCTAAAGCAAGTCCAGGGTTTAGCTCCGCATCGCCCTCATGCATTGCTGCCTCCATGAAGCCTTGCCCTGCAGTATGGGGGACATCTTCCAGGTTAAATATTTTATAAAAAGCTGCTTGAAGGTACTGGGTCTGTGCAGCAGTTGGAAAACTAGAGTGTGATCTGCAGGCACAGACCTGAACTAACTCCAAAAGCCCCAGCACTGGCTCTTGCTTGAACTATATTTCACAATCCCCATAGTTTATTTCACAATCCCCATAGTTTGCCCATTCCCTGGTAGAATTCACCCATTATGCAGCTGGAGAGCAATCTAGAGACCCTTGGGGATATAAAATGCAATAGATTAACATGGTCATATGGTTTAGGATATAGCTTGGAAAACGAGCAAATGATGAGGAAATCATCTAGATTTAAATCCAAGCAAGGTAACAGACTGCAGTGGTATTAAGGGCATATGCAGTGTTTAGCGTGTGTGGTTTGAATATAGGATAATTCTTTACCCCAGAACATGCAACATACCCCAGAACTCCAACAACTTTTGGGAGTTGGAGTGAAGGGGGGGTTACAAAAAACAGGAGACTCTTTGTTTTTTTCTCGTCTCAGGGGTGCTTCAACCAGCTCTGGGATGCTGGAGGGCCGTGCAGGCCGGGGGTGGCCTTGCCCCAGTGCCTCCTTCTTGTCTCCCAGCCCTTTTCTGCAGATGTTTCCCCACTGAGGCCTCCTCCTGGGATGCTGATGATGTCGGTCAGCCAGGCCCTGCTGCCTCCTTCATGGCGGGCTCGGGGCACTGCCCCTCGTGCGGGCAGTCCGCGCACCTCGCGCTGCTCGAGGTGCCCAAGATGGCCCAGCTGAGCGCTGAGTACCTGCTGCTCTGCCGGGAGAGCCTGGGCACTGTGCTGGCCCCGCAGGCCGCTCACCTCCATGCCGCCCGCCACCGGCTAATGGGTGCTGGGTGCGAGGCGACTGCACGGGCCCGGCAGCGCCAGGCGCTGAGGCAGCGAAGCTGGAGGTGCAGCAAGATGGTGGCCGCCCAGCAGCAGTTCCTCTTGCAGGCCGGGCTCCTGGGCTGCCATGCGGTGTGTGGGGGCAGCGAGGGACGTGGAGCCGCTTCTGGTGGCAGGTCCTCTCAAAACTGAGGAGGATGTGAAAAGCCAGCTCTGAGGCTCCCTCACACTGCTGTTAGGGTGCCTGGAGTTTCTCTAGGACCCAGAGGAAAGCTCGGTTCTCCACACAGGAATGTGTTTGGATGCCCTCACTAGCGAGAAGCCTGCTCACTTCAGACTGAGGAGGGAAACAGCTTTGTGGCTAGCTTGGCAGAGGGAACAGTGGAAGCAGAAGATGAAGGACGTGTGGAGGGGGCACCTGGTACAGGAAGCCCAGGTAGGTGCCATGTGGGCACCTTGGATACCTCCTTCATGATTTTTCTCCATTTTGGCTTCGAGTCCCAAGGTTATTAGGTCTCTTCAGGGAAAGATGACCTGTATCCAATTACCCAGTTGAACTGATGGGAAGGCAGAAGCTGGCCAAAATAAGGTTGACTGTATGTCTTCTGCAAGGCCAGAGTTGCCCTTCGAAGGATGTGACCCCCAGTGGCTGGTTGCCCCCTGCCTCGCCCATGACAGCAGTTGTGGGTCAGGCTCTACTTAGACTTACACTGAGTTGGGATCCAGGGCAAAAAGAGACCACGAGGAGTCTGCCAACAAAACCTAAGGAGTTTCCCAGTTGGCTGAGATGTCTCTGAACCCAGTTTTGGCATGTTAAACTCTTCTCATTGCCTTTCTGCCCCTCTCAGCTGAAGAGGGAGAATGAGATGTTCTGTGACACGCTATCCAAGGAGCAGCGGGCAGTTACGAATCACTTCCACCAGGAAATGGACATGCTCAGTGCCCGCCTTGGAGACCAGACTGACGTCATTAAATTGCAGGAGCAAACGGTATGTGTTCCACATGTGTGGTATGGTCAGAAAAATACAGTCAATGTTTTTTCCTGATTTTCCTTGAGTTTTGGCCCTTGCGAACCAGGTATTCAAGGGGCTAGATCACCACCGTGACTCTTTGTGTCATCATTTGGAGCACCTTTTTCTTTTTATTCGACCTATAGCTAGCATGGGGGTGTAATAGGATGGCACCCGCTGCATGACTTTACGTAATGGGAATGGAAGAGCCTTGGCTAACCCTTTGGTGGTGTAGTCTGGGAGATGCTCTATTTATTTACAGATCAAGCTGCTTTATGCAAGCAAACCTGAAGGTAATGACTATGTATTTTAAGGTCAGTCTGTTTGGGCTTAGATAAATTCTACATAGTTGTCAATAGCCACTCAGAGCACGCTGTTTTTTTCCCTGTCCTTCTACAATATCTTTGCTGCTTCAGGCAAGTGAGAGAAGAACATGTGCCGCGGCCGCTGCAGGGAGCTGGCCGCGTGTCCGCTCACATGGCACTGGGGCAGATATCCTCCAGACCCTCTAATATCAGCTGCAACAGCCCAGCCCGCAGAATTGGCTTGCTGGTGGAAAACTAACTCTCTTGGGTGCCTTTTGCATTTGCAGACATACCCCAAAAGAGTTAGATTTCAATCAGAAGCT